CAGAGATGCCATGTGAGGCTATGCAAGGGCAGTGTCGGCCTCGCTATGCTGGAGAAAGGTTCGCCTCGCCTCGGCTGAGGGAACGGATGGTTCGGCCTCGCCACGGCTGAGGGAACAACAGCAGGGTTGCGAAAACGCCTCGCTGAGGAAGAACGGTGCATGATGTTCCGGCCTCGCATCAGCTGAGGGTAGAATGATGAATGGGCAGGCCGGGCACTGATTGGTCTGCCGGAATTGAGTCTTGGAGACTCTGGAAGCACTGCATGCAGCTTGAATGCTGATGCTACTGGGCGCAAAGCGGTCAAGCAGCTTGAAGCATAGACTCCGCGGTGCCGGTGTGTCGGAGCAATTGATAGGAGACAACCGCAGCCCAGCAGTGCTCACTCAAACAAAGCAATCATTCGGCCTCGACTTGGTCTGAGGGAATGTGAGTTATGGATAAAAGACAAAATCCAGATATGGATGAGGGACACTGGCCAGGCATGGAGGCCAGCAAAGGGCAGATACCAGCATTGCAATGGAGAAGCCTCGAGTCCCAATGGGCAGTGAACTTTGTGGTGAGGAATATGTCGACTGGTGAGTAAGCGCGAGAAAGCCAGGGCGATTCTGGGGAGAACAGCAAGGCACGGTTAGTAAGTGCGAGAACACCGGAGCTGCTGAGAACCCTGGATTAGCCGGGACGTATTCCGTAGAGGCGTCGATGTCACTGCTTTCAGAAATGCCCACAAGGAGCAAGCAAGCAGCTAATCCGTGGTAGCAGAGTGGGCCTCACTTCGGTTGAGGGTAATCGACTCCCAAGTGAGAGTATGCAAGCTTTCACACTTGTGTGACAGCGTTTTATGCCAGATGAACTCAAAAATTCTTTGATGAGAAGCTTACTGTTCGCGAGCGAATCGTGTTTTATCGCTTGCTTCCGAATTGCCTCAAGAAAAACGGCGGGCCGTTGTTCTTGGTTTGAAGCCAAAAGTTATTTTATACTTTGCATGGCGTCATGTGCAGCAAACAACTTGGCATGTTGATTGTATTCTTTACTGCATGTTGCGAAGTTTGCTTGAGCTCTTCATGTGTGCAGCACTGGCTCCATCGCAGTGCGCAAAATTTTGAGACCCCGCCATGGTTTCCGTTTGACGGCCGCTACAGAGCGGGATAATAAGTACTGTGCATTGTCTACACCTCGTGCGCCGCGCGCTGCGCGCTGCATTAAATTTGCGTGCATCTGGTTTCCCCAGGCCTCCTGCAGTCTTCCTGTGCCACTACTGGGTGGGGGGCTACATGCGTTTTCGACGCCTTCGTACGCCCTTGCGTTGTGCACATGGCTCAGCTGAGCGGTTAAAAGGGGGGAAAATCCGAGGTGCGCCTCAGGCAGAATGCTCATAGGTGCTTTGCGGCCAGCAGTCTCCCCTCCATTGCTGGTGCAAGTTCAAGAAGGCATCTTTACGTATGTCCTGCAACAGCCTGGTGAGGATCAGGCACGCAGCAGCCGTGCTTCTACGAACCAGCGCCAGTGAGCTCTGGAGCACGATGGCCTTACGTGGTTCCAACCGAAGTTTGGCATCTATGGCTTTGCCTGGCAGCTTGCAGTCTTTGGCCTTCCAATGTTTCAGCCGGCGCTCAGAGAAGATTGCATTGCTGGCTGCTTGCAGTCATGCTTGAAGGATGTGGCGTTGCCTGGCAGTTTGCAGTCCTTACGCTGCAGTCTTCATCATTGGACGTGACCTGAATGATGGATGTGATCTCTGCAAGTGTGTGTATATTGTGGCGTTGCTTGACGGCGTGCAGTCCTTGGGTTCCAGGATGCTTTTACCCGGGCATGGCCCGCCTGCTGCTTGCAGTTGAAGTGGCCTTGCCTGGCAAATGGTCGTCCCGTTGGAGTCCTTGAGCTTCTGATGTCGAGGTGATCCACGCAAGGATGTGGCAGGCAGATGCGTTTTCTTCGTTTCGAAGCATAAGGGACATGGTTGTTTCTTATACCTGCAGGCAGTTCGTGGCAACTGAAAATTAGTTCATGCACCGGCTTGTTCGGAAAGGGTGCGCTTGTTCAGAGACGTCAAGAATCCTCCAGCGGAGACTGAAGCGCGGGACTCGAGATTTGAGTGAGCCATTGTTAGCTGCCATGCCTGCCTGACGCTTCGTCCTCCATTTCGTATCCCCAAGGAGTGCACCGACCCTTTGAGCCTCAGGATTTTGTATCTAGTGCCGGTCAATTTCTTTACCCAAGCCATTTGATGCAAGTCACTACAAGGAAGTAGGGTGTCTGGGACAGGCACCTGTGCTTGTTTCAGGTGTTCGCTGCTAGGTCCGGCCTGTCCCAGGGTGTCGACCTGGCAGGGTATTGCTGTTGCAAGGGAAAGTTATGTGTTTGCAGTGTGTTGAAGGTGTGCAGATCGATGGCGAGGTGACAGGCAACTGAGGAGTTTGTGATGCGACAGCTTCGCCCTGCATCGCGCATTGCATAGGGCCACTATGGGTCCCAAGGATGCAGCTGTCCTGTGCTTCATGAGCCAAGGGGGCTCAGCCCACGTTCGTTTGAGGTGCTTGAGACGTGTGTGTTATCGGACGTGCCGTCTTGTTTGTGCATAAGCTGCCGTGACCCGACCACCGATATGGATTCTTCAATAGCGAACCAACCCGTGCTGAGGCGTGCTGTACCACCATGTCCCCCCACGTCCCCACCGTGTGCCAAGCTTGCGTCCTGCTAAGCGATTGTGGGTCCAAGCAGGCCCAGATGTTTTGCGGTGTGTCAGCGCTGCCGACAAGACTCTGCGCTGCGTCGCAGCAGAGTGTGCTTGCAGCTGTTGGCAAGCTTAAGGTCATGCGTTCCGTGTGAGCTCCGCAAGCAGCTTGCACGCATATCATGTTTCGTGGTTGCTCTGGAGCTACAGACAGTCTCTAGACGTCCTTCGATACAATGCCGAGTGCACTTTGTGCGCAACAGCAGGTACCAAACGGCTTAAGACGTGATTTCCGTTTCCAATCTGTCTTGACAGACTCAGTCGTTCACGGGTCGAGTACCGTGGGGTACAGGGGTACTGTACGGTGAGTGCACAGCTTCGGTGTGATGCCTTGGATGACGTTGAGGTCCTTGGGTTTCTGGGCGACAGGTGTTGCTATGTTAGTCGACTGTGGGCGCGGTGAGCTGTCACAGGCGCCCGAGAGCACCACCTTGGACATGCGAGGTCTTGGTGAAGCCACGCGTTCAGCGTGCTCTCAGTATGACACAGGGGCGACAGCGTCCTCTTTCTTGGCGGACTTGTCGGTTCGGGAACGATTGCAGTCCTCATGTTCTCTTCTGTGTATTGCCTGATCGCATCGGCAAGCGACGTGCGCTATTCAGTCTACTTCCCCTCCATGAGCAAGTGCTCTGCTCGCGCACTGCAACATACTGCCCAGCGTCCCCAGAACCTCAGATCTCATACAGGGATGAGGCAGATGACGGCCAACGCCTGAGTGTGATGGCCGTACATGCAACGCACGCCTTCTCTTCTTTGCTTGACTGTGAGCACCGTCTTGAGGACGTTGAATTGCCCAAGGTCTTGCAGTCCTTGACTTTTGGACAATTCTTCAACCAGAGCTTGAACAATGCAGCCTTGCCCGGCGGCTTGCAGTCCTTAACCTTTGGGTACCATTTCAACCAGAGTTTGGACAACGTGACCTTGCCAGGCATTTTGTTGTCCTTGAGCTTTGCGCACGATTTTACCCAAAAACTTGCATAATGGCATAGTGTTTTCATGTCCGGCAGCTTGCAGTCCTTGAGCTTCGGAGCGTGTTTCATGTGACCTTGCCTGGCAGCTTGCAGTGCTTGCAGCTTGACCTTTGGAGAACGCGCGTTTGGAGAACGAGGCCCGGCCTGGCAGCTTGCAATGAGTGGCCCTCGTGGTCCAACAAGAGCGTGGAGCATGTAGCATGCCTGGCAGCTTGCAGTCCTTGAGCTTCGGAGTCATCAGCGTGGCATAGCATGACAGCTTGCAGTCCTTGAGCTTCGGATTCGGTTTCGCCTGAGAGCTTGAAGAACGTAGCCTTGCCTCGCAGCTTGTAGTCCTGGAGCTGTGCTGCAGTGGTCGCGCGAGAGACGCGGACACCATGGTGCTGTTTCAGTTCTCATGCCCCCAGCCATGTGCGCGCGTCTGTTTGTCGAGCATCTCACCACATGCATCCTGCGGTTCCTTGGGTTCCCCAGGGATTTCTGAACCAGGTTGTCCCGAAACCTTTCTGGTTTCTCCAAGGATTTTTGAACCAGGTTGTCCTGAAACCTCTCTGGGTTCTCCTGCGATTTTTGAACCAGGTTGTCCCGAAACCTCTCCAGGGATTTTTGAACCATGTTGTCCCGAAACCTCTCTGGGCTCTCCGGGGATGCAGTCCTCGAGCTTCGGGGTCGGTTTCAAGGGGCTTGGAGAATGCGGCCTTGCCTCGCAGCTTGCAGTCCTGAGCGTCGGCTTCGGTTTCAACCAGAGCTCGGAGAGAGTCACCTTACCTGGCAGCTTGCAGTCCTCGTGCTTCGGGGTCGGTTTCAGCTGCAGAACCCAACAGGAAAGTCGGCAGTTTCAGTGAGAGCTTGGGGAATGTGGCCTTGCCTCGCAGTTTCCAGTCCTGGAGCTTCGGAGTCGGTTTCAGCGAAAGCTTGGAGTATGTTGCCTTGCCTGGCAGCTGTTGTTTGCGGCGAGTGAGCAGTCGCTGGGTGTGGCCTCTGAGGACGTCTCCAGGGGATTGCGCGCCACACGTGCGTAAAGCACACGCAGTGGTGCTTGCCCCTGGGTGGTGTTGCCCGTGAGGGGTTCTCCGGTGGCGTATAGTTGCGCTGCCTGTCTTACGCGGCCTCTGAAAAAGTTCTCCAAAGGTTGCGTGCCTCACGTAAAAGAAGCTGTAAGCTGATGTCAACCAAGGGGCTCATGAGCCCTTCTCTCATGCGTGAGGGTGAAGGCGCTGGTGCCTTGTGTGTGAACCAAGGGGCTGTCTTCACGTACCTGACAGCCGTTGTTCGCGGCGAGTGAGCAGTCGATGGCATGGAGTGTGTATGCGCCGCGCTCTACCGTGTGACCTCTGAGGCAGTCTCCAGGAAGCTGCGCCGCACGTGCGTGCTGCACATGCAGTGGTGCTTGCCCCTGGGTGGTGATGCCCATGAGGGGTTCTCCAATGGCGCAGAGTTGCGCTGCCTGTCTTACGCAGCCTCTGAGAAAGTTCTCCAAAGGTTGCGTGCTGAGGACATCTCCAGGGGATTGCGCGCCGCACGTGCGCGCAGCACACGCAGTGGTGCTTGCCCCTGGATGGTGTTGCCCGTGAGGGGTTCTCCGGTGGCGTATAGTTGCGCTGCCTGTCTTACGCGGCCTCTGACAAAGTTCTCCAAAGGTTGCGTGCTTCACATAAAAAGAAGCTGTAAGCTGATGTCAACCAAGGGGCTCATGAGCCCTTCTCTCATGCGTGAGGGTGAAGGTGCTGGTGCCTTGTGTGTGTGAACCCAGGGGCTGTCTTCACGTGCCTGACAGCCGTTGCATGTTCGCGGCGAGTGAGCAGTCGATGGCATGGAGTGTGTATGCGCCGCGCTCTACCGTGTGGCCTCTGAGGCAGTCTCCAGGAAGCTGCGCCGCACGTGCGTGCTGCACCTGCAGTGGTGCTTGCCCCTGGGTGGTGATGCACATGAGGGCTTCTCCGGTGGCGCAGAGTTGCGCTGCCTGTCTTACGTAGCCTCCGAGAAAGTTCTCCAAAGGTTGCGTGCCTTAGAAAAGGAAGCTGTAAGCTGATGTCCGCCAAGGGGATCATGAGCCCTTGTCTCATGCACGCGAGTGAGGGCACTGGTGCCTTGCGTGTAAGCCAAGGGGCCGTCTTCAAGATCTGGCCAAGGGGCCACTCATGAAAGTGAGGGCACCTGGTGCCTTGGCCAAGGGGCCACTCATGCAGGCACATGGTGCCTTGGCCAAGGGGCCACTCATGAAGGTGAGGGCACATGGTGCCTTGTATGTGAGCCAAGGAGCCACTCATGTAAGTGAGGGCACATGGTGCCTTGTGTGTGAGCCGAGGGGCCACTCATGTAAGTGAGGGCACATGGTGCCTGTGTGTGAACCAAAGGGCTGTCTTAAAAACGTGGCCAAGAAGCCTCATGATTCTCTACTGCTGGCATTCTTCATGCACGTTCTGAACGCAGGCTCAGGGACATGTGGATAGTGAGTTGCTTTTAAGGTCATGGGTTTGTCATGAGTCTTTGTCTCATGCACGAGTGTGAGGGTACATGGTGCCTGTGTGTGTGTGTGTGTGTGTGTGTGTGTGTGTGTGTGTGTGTGTGTGTGTGTGTGTGTGTGTGTGTGTGTGTGTGTGTGTGTGTGTGTGTGTGTGTGGTGTGTGTGTTGTGTGTGTGTGTGTGTGTGTGTGTGTGTGTGTGTGTGTGTGTGTGTGTGTGTGTGTGTGTGTGTGTGTGTGTGTGTGTGTGTGTGTGTGTGTGTGTGTGTGTGTGTGTGTGTGTGTGTGTGTGTGTGTGTGTGTGTGTGTGTGTGTGTGTGTGTGTGTGTAAGCTGACGATCTGTCTTAAAGACATGGCCAAACGGCCGCATGATTCTCGAGTGAGTGTGTCTTTCATGCACGCGGCGAGGTACTGGCGAAAGTGGCCTACGAGAAGTGCATCTCCTGCTTGGTCAGCCATCTCCACAGGGAGGCTTCCCGAGGCGCGCCGAGGTGCAGCTGGTTGGGGCTGAGAGGCAGGTGTTTGTGCGCATTTTGAGGATGGTATGCCTGCACGGGTAGCAACTGATGGCACATCTGGTGTGGACGTCCGCTCCCGCAGCGAACGGGGAGTGACAAGGAACGCCAGAAACTTAAGCGCCAATGTGAGCATAGCGCAGGTCGGGGCCGAGGCACTCCCAGTGTTTCCACGCACGCCCCATCTGTGACCATAAGCGTGACAGCCCCAGACGCACTGGGGTGCAGCCAGTGGAGCCCCAGCGTCTGGCTGTCTGCCCGCCTCGGCCCCTTTGTGTCGCAAGCCGGGCGTGTCTTGCCGCCACGCGTCTCAGGTCTGCCTCTTGTGTTCTGCGTGATGCCCCGGTTAATGGGGGTTTTTCTGTGGTGGTTTCTGGGTGTGGGTGCTTCTCAGGGTCTCTTCGGGTCTGGGGGTTTTGGTGGTGGGTCTAGGAGTGCCGCTGCTTCCCCCGGAACAGTTTGCCTGTGAAGCTACCGCTGCTTCCCCCGGAACAGCTTGCCTGTGAAGCTGCCAAGGATGGACACCCAAGGACTCGGGAGGCTTGCTCTGACGCGAGTATCCCGCCGCTTCCCGGAACAGTTTGTCCGTGAAGCTGGTCACCCACGGACTCCCGAGGAGTGTTCTGCCACGAGTCCTCAAGGATGAGTTGTGCACGATGTGCACGCAGGCTTCCATAATGGAATCTCGTGAGGGTTGCTCTGCTATAAGTTCCCAAGGATGCGTTGTGCACGCAAGCTTCTATGATGAAGTCTGGGGGGGGGTTCCTCTTTTCGGTTCATTTGGTTCTGACGTCTCAATGTGCCCGTATAGGGTGTGCCACCGGTTCCCCGGGAACAGTTTGGCTGTGAAGCTGTCAAGACTGGTCGCCCAAGGATGCTCTGCCACAAGTCCTCAAGGATGAGTTGGGGCGCAAGCTTCCATAACGGTGTCTCTGAAGGAGTGGTCTGCCACAAGCCCTCAAGGATGCGTCGCGCACAACAGGCCTCATGTCGGAGTCGGTGCAGCATAGGTTGCAGGCTCATCTTATGGCCACGCAGCCATAACTTGTGCAGGACCACAGAGTGTCAAATCTGCAATGAAGGAGTCGGTGTGTAAATAAGTGAATCCCGTCATCGAGCCCAAGCGGTCACTCTGTTGGAAGCGATGACGAGAGAGGTGGGCCCTGCTGTTCACAGTCATGTCTCAGAACGCCGAGAAATCAAGTCCACCTCCGCCTCCTCCCCAAGGACTGCAACTAGATGTGGTGCCTGGGTACTTTGCCATAGTCTGCTCGATGCCGATCTCATTCCTGCGGCACGCTGTGTCGGTTGCTACGGGAGCGTGAATGTCTGAAGGGTTCCGAACCTTCGCCTTGCTTCCCCGCACTGTTAGGCGAGACAAGGGGGGGGGGGCCCACTGTGTGTTGATACACCTCACTCACCAAGGAGTGATTCGTGCATTACTGTGCACCCACTTGGGCTGCGTGTTCAATGTATTTTTGATTTAAATAAAGTACAGGTCTGGGTGGTGACGGCAACACGGGCCCGCGACGTCAGCCGCCGAGTGTGCAGGCGGTCTCATCAGTGAGAGGTAAGTTATAAGCCCCCCCCCGCACGCAGTTGGCTTCATGTTACGACCGTGCCTACTTATGCTCACGCCAAATGTCAGCGCGTGTCCACGGAATGCGCTGCCTGCTCTACAGTGAGCGGAGTGTAGCTGTCAACTTCGGATGACATGCTGGGAAACAGGTCTTCCCAAGCACGTCTAGGGAGGAGTAAGCGGCAAACCTGGTGTGTGGTCGTTGGTGCCGCCAGTCTTGGGCAACCTACTGAAAACAACATGTGCGCCATGTGGCCGGCTTCCTGTCTGCCCACTGTGCGGGTTCTTACGCTCTCCTGGAGGCCGCTCAAATGGCAGTGTCGGGTGCTCCTACCCATAGGGCGCGTGTTTGGTTCACTCGCTTGCCATGCCTGTGTGGGCATCGGCTTGTCCAGGAAGCTTGGTGTTTTGTCAAGGTCGGTCTACGTAGTGGGTTTGGGTTTGCATATTCTCCCTCTTCGTGGGATGCGTGAGTGCGCACCTTTCCTTTAAGGTGCACAGGCTCCCCCTTCAAGGCATATGGCCACACTTCTACAGAGGGGCGTGGATCACTGTCCTGTGATCTAATGCGTTTCCAGCGCGGCGACGCTCCTGCATTGGTTTTCGGTTAATTGGGGGTTTGAGGCTGCCATAGGATGACTAGGTGTCGCGCCTATAAAGACGTGTGCGCAACCAGCGTGTACACGGGCACGTGATTGTGCATCTTGATCCGCCCATTGATAAAAAGAAAGGGATGGTGACCTGGGGTGTCACGGTTCATGCTTCAGGGAGTCTGTGTGTCTGGCTTGAGCTTTTGGGTTCAAACCAATTTGGTACAAGCGATAAGCTTACTGTTCGCGAGCGAATCGTGTTTTATCGCTTGCTTCCGAATTGCCTCAAGAAAAACGGCGGGCCGTTGTTCTTGGTTTGAAGCCAAAAGTTATTTTATACTTTGCATGGCGTCATGTGCAGCAAACAACTTGGCATGTTGATTGTATTCTTTACTGCATGTTGCGAAGTTTGCTTGAGCTCTTCATGTGTGCAGCACTGGCTCCATCGCAGTGCGCAAAATTTTGACCCACCCAGCCCACCCTGGGCATGCCTACAGCAGGGCCCGCTGACGCGGCTGCAACTCCCTGCTTCTGTTTCTCCGTGCCGTCACGGACTGCCACGTCGTTCGCCTTGCGTTCCTACGCTTTGGCGCCTCCTGGCGGAACCCACCCGCCCACCCTGGTTGTAGCAGGGCCCGCAAAGGCGGCCGCAACTCCCTGCACGCGGTCCTGTCGGACCCCATGCTCGAGTAGAGTCAGGTAGCGTCAGGCAGATCGTCCTCGCCCTCAAAAGGGGGTTTGAGGCTGCCATAGGATGACTAGGTGTCGCGCCTATAAAGACGTGTGCGCAACCAGCGTGTACACGGGCACGTGATTGTGCATCTTGATCCGCCCATTGATAAAAAGAAAGGGATGGTGACCTGGGGTGTCACGGTTCATGCTTCAGGGAGTCTGTGTGTCTGGCTTGAGCTTTTGGGTTCAAACCAATTTGGTACAAGCGATAATTTTTGTGTCCATGTTCTACATGTTGTTCTGCTGGGAATTTTCGTCTGACCCGTGCATGCACTCTCATGAGATTTGTTGCATGAATTTTTACATGTGAATTGCATGTTGAATGGGTCAAGGTTCTTGCTCGCAGCAAGCTGGCGAAAATTTTTGTTCGGGTTCGGGGCCGTACTAGTGCTGTGCTAGAGGTCTCAGTCCCCCAGTAAACCGAGTTTGCCGCTAGGGCTCGTGCACGCCGGCCCGCGGGGCCGGCAGATGGATCTCGAGGCCTCTGAGCCTCCTGCCGCAGCTGCCCAGGCTGTGCCTGTTGAGGTTCGCCTTGCATCCTTGAGCCGTGACGTGGCCCTGCTCGGGCGTCATCTGCGCAGTGTTCAACACCGTTTGGTCAGCCTTGAGGATCGCGTGGTCGCCTTGCAGTCCCGTGTGCAGGATAACGCTGATCAGCTTGAACAGGACTCCACCCGCCTTGCTGCTATCAGCCAGTTTTTGCAGGCCTTGGTTCAACACTTGAGCTTCCTGTTGCGCGGCCTTTTGCACGCCCTGCCTGTGCGCCTGTGATGCCTGTTTCTGATGATAGTGAAGTGGGGAGTGACGATCAGCCTGTTCCTGCCCCGTCTCATGCCTTGTCAGGTCACGAGAGCTTGAGCCAGGA